GTTTAAAGGACCTCGCTTGAAGGGAGAGTTTCTCTAGAGATCTGATCGCAACCCGTGCCTTCAACATAGCAGAAATAAATTTATGATTTATTCAGAAGATCTACCGACACATGACGACATTGCAAAAGTCAAGGCAGAAATTCGCAGACACGGGCTGCGCTGTGCACCAGACGTATGTTGCGCCGTGTTCAGCAAATGTACAGTTGGTCTTCGGCTCAACTCGAAAATGAAGCGACTCGAATGGTGTAAACGACCGTGCAATGAGAAGTCACACAAACGAGTCTGATCTTTTTTAATTGGTGTATCGACAACAATCAATGATGAAAATCACCATTACTCCAGAATCTTTTAATCTTTTTAACATACCCTCCTCTTTCAAAATACGAGAAGTGTCGGGTGCAGACCATACACCACAAGTGACGACGGCCCTCCACAAAATGTAAATGTTTTCTGCCAATGAAATGATTAGCCTGTTGCAGTTGTATTCTATCAGTTGTCACTAATTACAACTATCATTTACCAAAAATCAGCTATCACTATGAACCACTACTAACCAGATTTACTTGGAGGCCGTCGTCACTTGTGGTGTATGGTCTGCACCCGACGCTCTTCTCATTTTTGAAAGGGAGTATACATTCTCTTGAACATTACTAGAGTGGGTAACTGAGCCAGACCAAAAGTCGCTCTTCAATAATAGTTCGCATCATTCAATTGCAACCATTAGATGATAACTGGGCGCTGCTATTATAGCAAGGGATGGACCTGTCGGCAGCGCGGCGAATACCGACTGTTTTACCTCGACCCTTTTATCGCTTCAATGTTCTGCTTTAGCCTAACCTTCGTCGTCTGTACAGCTTCTCATGACTGCTTTGACTCGCACCAAGGTCAACCGTTAATCAATTTCAAAAATTTTACGACCCCGAACACCAAAGTCTCGATGAAGTCTCCGACCAATACCCCCCCCCCCTCCTCCGACACCTCCACCGACCGCTAGACCGCTTCTATAATATACGTATTGTTTTTTGTTTCATTATATTTTTATCTTACAATAATTCACATAAAGTATCGGCTTTTTAGGTTTAATTATTTATTTAACTTTGTCCTTCACAAGAATTGTTGAACTTATTTTTATTGTTTTCATAAAGAATGATATGAAGATAATTTCTGTTAAAACGGCCTGTTTATACATGTGAACCATCACTGGTGAAACAATCAACAACGTAATGACAATCTGAATTAACAACATAACAACCACACCGGCACCACAGTCAGCATCTTCTATATAAAGAAGCTGTAGGAGAGTCTGTCTAGCACACGTTTAGGCAGTCCGGAAAGGACTATGACCACCTCAATCTGTGGGCTCACCAAGCTACTATAAAGAAACTTTTTTGCAACATACTATCCGCCTTAGCAAGAACAATTCCTCGACGCTTTTCCACTTTTCGTTCATATTCTCTTTGTTTTGGCTACCGTACTCCCTCCTGGCTATTGTAACCAATGGTTTCAGCGACATCCGTATGCGAGATTTTGCTGATGACCAAGCATGCACCAAAACATGTGGCGTTTATGAATATAGCAGAAGAGACCTGTTTCACAGCGTCATCTCCTTTGAGAGCTGCAAATCGCAGACGTTCCGAAGCTAGCTCAACTGCAGACGACAGCACCGAACAGCATGATTCAACATCTTTGCTCCAATTCTAGAAAAAAAAATCATATGATCAAAAAAGGAAGAACATGTAAAATATTAAGTCACAGCTGAAACAGCCAGACGGAATTTCCCTACAGAAACTTCATTATGAAGTTTTTTTTTTGGGTGAAATTCGTACTTAAAAAATGAGAACTTCAAAGACACTGAAACCGAGGAAAATTCATTTGAGAGGGACGACTTTGTTGAGAGAATTGAGAGAAAAGATGATATTCCAGTTATTTGAGAGCTGCGAGAACATTGTGGATGCATGCATGCCTATGAAAGGCCGTGTCCAGTTCTATCTGCTCGTCCTTGCGCCGAGAATAGAAAACATTAAAGTCAAGGCCTAGGATCAAATGCAAGAGATAATCCCACTCGAATAGGGAAGTAGCGATGCTAAGTGTGTAGATCAATCACTGCGGCACGGACAAGATACCGATGGGCGGGCATTGATCCTTCTAGGCGTGGGCAAATACAGCCTTGGGCGCCTAACGCCTTCGTGACCCGTTAGAGGCGCGAAGGTAGCACGACTACTGTCCGGTGGACTTAACTAGCACATCTACCTATTATAAGGACTTCTTTCGGTCAGGCGAGAAACGGACCACTGATTTTGAGGGTTAAAGGATTCAGTCTTTGCGGTTATAGGTAATAAGATTCAAAAATGACAGCTACTACAGTTTCAAAAAACCCACGGGTTTATTGGAGTCCGCCAGAAGAGCTCTCTCCAAAAGCTGTATATACTTCTCTCCTTCTTCGACATTGTCGTCCTTTGGTTTGTTTCAATGAAGCATAGGACTTCCATGCCTGAGTTTGAAGTATAAACTTCATTTTTGAGCGAAGGGAAAATGATTATCACCAGGTGATTGTTCTACGGAAGATTCACACTTGCTTCGTGAGTTGTGTGAATGTCCTCTTTTTCTTAAAGTTATCATAGTTGTTGAATATCAAAATACACCCTTGAAGCTTTGTACCTAGTCCCGTCGAGGTGCCATTCAAACCACTCCTACTCCCAAAGGTCAAAAGGTTACAGCAGATTCTGGCAGTGTCAAAGTAGTCTGCCACTGTGGTAAGATGCTGCGGTATTACCGAAGAGCCCAACCAGCAGCACTGCACCACCACCCCACCTTCCTGGAAAGTGCGAGCGCAGTCGCGCCCACGTGGCTACGCCTTATCATTTAAGATTTTACTCGCTGATTGCAAGGCGCGTTCTCAGTCACTAAATGGAGCGGTGACACTGCTCACCTTCGAAGACAACGTCTGCACAGCGCTCAGCCGCCCAAACAGCTTCAACAGCTCAGTTTTCAGATCGTTGGCCTGCACTTTAGATGACTCATCCGATGCCTAAAAGTGTTTCAATGGTTGCAAAACTGAAGATCTGGGACGGTAAAGTTTACCTCCTTCACCATTCTTAAAACGTTCGACGCCATAATCTCCAGTACTTCATCATCCTTTTGCTGTTTGTTCAGATCAAGCAACCGGTGGAACGCCTTGATTGCCTTGAATAATGCTTCAATATACACCATTTTATTATTATTCTACGGTATGATGTGAGCTAATGAAAAGTTCTCAATAGGAGCACACCAACAGACAACTGTAAAAAAAGATTCCAGGCCACAGCAAAACCAAACAGCAGTAGGCAGTAGGAGCCAGCTGCTGGGAGTGAGGGAATTAAGGTAGAGCCAGATCATCGACAAGTTTTGTCTGTTATTGGTTTATCAGTGTGCCATGAATCATTTGAAGAAAGACTTGAGGAGACTCGACCAATTTTGAGAGTGAGCCATGGGATAAACACACATGGACGTCTTTGTGTGTGTGGGAGGGGGGAGCAAGCGCCAAAATGGGCGGAACAGCAAAAATATGAGCTCCTACCGATGAACCAGAATGATTAAAAATGGATGAAGGGGAACACCTGAAGCTCACTGAAATATCCCTAAAATGGCTACGATAGCCTGAAAATCAGGAAAAAGCGGAATGAGGAGCCTATGGAGGAAAGATAGAATGTTAAAGAGAGGCCGGGCTGGAATCGAAGATGTCTTTAGCCCGTTCATGTCGCTGAAACCCTACGTAACGCAAGTGTTAGCGTGCAAAGCCAAACTGGTAGCTACAAAGGCAGCAGACGAAGAGACAGTGGATGATGAGGATGGAAAATGATACAGGTACAGGAGCAGCCAACATGCAAATTTTGGTCTCATTGAAATAAAAATATCAAAGAAGAGTTCCTGAAATTAGGTCTCACTCATGAAAACAAACTTTCCCTCCTGACCACGCTGGACCCGTACAGCAACTATAGCTTAGAGAGAAATGCCGAACATGAAAAAGGGTTTACGGACTACTTGATTTTTCCTCAATGGTCCTGCCGCGATGGCTAGAGCACAGACGATTAGAGAACGGGTGAATGCCCTAGGACTAAGCCTTGGAGAGGAGAGGGACCCGCGAGAGAGCGCAGAGGCGGTTTAAAGGGCTGAGTTCAAGTAGTCCGTCGACCATCAAAAACGCTCAAAAAAGCTCACGAAGGTGACCCTACCTGATCAAATTCGGCTGTATCGACGCAGAGTAGCAGATAATTCTCCCAAACTTTTGGATGTTCGAAATTGAATTTCAGTGCTTCCTATAAGAGGACATTCCATAGTTTGAACTCAAGCAAAAAGCTACACGGCGGAAAACGTACCGAAAGGATTTTTCTCGCCCTCTCTCTGACCCAACTTGATGTAGGCAGCCGATAAATTGTTCCAAGCCTCGAATGCTCGGGTGTCTAAGCTGCACCCTAGAATATTCACGGCAAAGGTCTCCGATCAGAGCCTTAAGTAGCTACTGAAATGGAAAGTAGCTGATTCAAGTTGCATGTCCAAAAGAACTGCGAGAAAATTATGAACTGCGCGCTAAGCAAACTTACACACGATGAAAACATGTGACTGCATCGGCATATCGTTCCACCTTCCATGCACAGTATCCCGCGTTGAACCAGACACCCAGCTGCAACAAAATTTTAATTTAACCAAATATACAACGCAAAGGATGACATTCTTCCTAGACCATCAATACTAGATATATAAAAGAAAATGAGGTTTTCAATGGCCAAGAAAGACCCTCGACTGTTCAAGGGATCAGATATTCTCCTAAGATAGAACAAAAGTTGGTAAACACCTGTATCGGCTGCAATTCCAAACTTCTTCGTAGATGTTCGTAGGCAGATTCGAACTGATTCCGGAGAACCATAAGATTACCCAGTGACTTTCTAGCACGAGCATTTCGATCGTTGGACATCTGAATATGTTGAAAACAATTCTCGTTCGAACTTCTACTACTAGAAGTGTGCAGTCCCCCCCCCCCCCCCCCCCCCCCCCCCCCCCCCGCCCCCCCCCCCCCCCCCCCCCCATAGCACATTTTGTGATAAAAAATTGGGCATTTCAAGAAAAAAGAAACATTCCACAAAAAAAATCGAAAACAGTGTTCTGTTACCGGTCGGATACAAGGTTACTTCATCAGGATTAGACTCCATAGATCATTTATCTCAGAGAAAGATGCTCAGCTGACATTGCACAAAAATTCCTTAGCTTCAAGTTACTGCTGAATCGTTCGAGGATTCTTATTCTGATCATCGTGCAGTTAGATTTCAGAAAGAAGAGGATGTTCATACTTTTTTCTGTGATCGAAGCGTCAATATTCGATAAAGCCTAAGAAGAACAACAGAACGTCCTAACCTTCATGGCCGTCTCATAATAGCTTGGCTCCATAGTGATGTCTCCTAGAAGGCATACAAGCATGGAGTCATTAGGTCTTTCGAGCAATAACCTTCGAATCAGAGCTTCTGCCTAAAAACTAGAACTATAGGAAAAAGGGTAAAGCTTTAAGCGTGATATCATAAGTCTGCATCATTCTCATCAGTCAGTATCATTTTCTCAAAATTCGTTAGCTGCCGAATTATTTGATCAGTTGGTACCACTGTTAATTCCAGCCGCGTCTGATGGAACCAAATTTTCTCATAACTAATTCCTGCCTACTCTATATTCATACAACAAATTTCATAAGACGATCATATATCACAAACCTTTTCCAGTTGACCCAAACGCTTGAAACATTCTATCACACTATCCCACATTTCAAGTTTTTCGTACAGGAGGAGCGCTTCCTAAAATCAACACAGGTCTAATCACTTGAGAGACTAAGATATGAGTTCAGTATCAGCAGCTGAACAATGCGACAAGGAGAGATTGCTCACAGAAGTACATCCAAGAGACTGCAATGTTTCGGCATGGATGGAATAAGCGTCCCAAAACGGCTCCAATCCAGACGCTAGAACAAGATCACAACGCTTCTCCTTGACATTTGCTGGAGTCTGAAAAACAGAGCGATCAATGTATGTCGTAACGATAAGTCTGACACAGCACTTAGGAAGGGCATATTCGACATGATGAGAGATCGAATGATCGAACAAATTTGACAATTTGTTCAAACGTAAAATGGACGGATTATTTATCAATACTAGTTGGAATAGGCCAGATTTGAGCTGCTGATCTGTCAGAACTCTGAGAGAAGAATGAAATGGCTGAAATTCCTTGCAAAACGGAGGTATAGGTACAAGAAGTTGAAGGAAGAAAACCCTTGCGACATACTCGAATGAAACAGGATAAGATTTGTGAGGGATGATTGCATTGTTTCTAGTCACGACCACGAGTATAACACTGGTGTAGCCATAGCCCAACCTGATCATCGACTCCATCCATAAGCTTGCAAATCAACTCGGACTGCGCACAAGCTCGCTCTACTCGTCGTTTTTTCGCACGCTCCAATTCACATCGTGCCAGCAACGCTGCTGCCTGTACAGCCCAACCGCGTCGTTGCCGAATTATCTGCAACCGTAAAAATTAATTAAAATGCTGTTGACAACGAAAGTTCAGTGCTCACAGCTTCCAGATATGCATCTGCTCTCTCCATGAACAACTCATCACAGTGCTCCGTTCTCCTTTCCAGTCTGTACAGTGCTAACACGACAGCCAGCTGCAACGGTGACAGAGCTGTAGACTCATCTCCTCCCTCAGTCAACGCAATCTTAACAAAAGAAAACATAAGCAGCGCGTAAAAATCACCCCTTTAAGGACGTCAATGGAAAAAGACTACTGAATCGTCGACTAAGGAAACTGTAGCCATGAAAAATGTACCTATAAGCATTGCGAGAATAAAAATCCACTCACTTTCTCAAGTAGTGTGTCATCATTTAGAGCGCAGTTTGTGGGGACATCGAGATCTTCGGAGACAGGTTCGGAAGCGGATGACGCCTTAAAGTAGAGCGCACTCGAAATTATAACCAAAAGTAGGACAAAACAGCTGCTCCGAAACTGACAAACCGCATTCAGCACCAACTGCGCAATGTCACGTTGCTGGAAACGAGTGCGCTTTCCAAGCTTCCCTGCTAACTCCATGTTAAGGTTAGAAAACGCTAGCGCATGCCTGAAATAGTGAATGTAGAAGAAAGAAGTCCTTCACAAAACATTAAATCTGATGGAACAAGCGAGCGCAGCTTCACGTGTATGATAGCGAAGTGCGGTGTAGCTACCTGAGCTCCATTCATAGAAGGGCTGTGTTTGAAGCGTACTTACGCCCACTCCCGTTTAATTTATTTTGAAAAAAATCAATGTCCAGACAGAGCAACCCTTCATTCATGCAAGTGCTCGAATTTATGATAACAAAACTAGGTACTACATAATGTCGAAGTGTGACGCGAAATTTTGTTAGAGCTTTGCAGACTTTCGACAACTGAGTTTTCAGAAGAAAATCTGATTGACTAAAAAAAGCGAGCTTTTTCCTTCACGAACTTAAAAGCCAGGGTAGACATGGTCCAACGACGATATTTGAATGAAACTTACTCAATGCACGCAGCACATCTTTCGTAGTCGTAGTAGATCAGATGAGAACCAGCTCTTTCAAGCCAGTATACTACCTTTTCTTGATCGTCTAGTTCACCGCGTTCAACAACGGCAGCCTAAGCAAATGCTCTTTCAATCGAAAACAGCGAATTATCACCGGAACTCAAGCCAAAATTAGAACTTACAAATTCATCCATCATATTCTTCAAAACTGTTGACGGCTCAGCGAGTATTTTCTGCCATAGCAATACAATTCTGAAAGAAATCGTATCGATACTACTAGGAAACACCTCAAGGTAACAAATTCACAACAATTACCTGAATGCAAGTAAATTGGCATACTGATGACCCTCTATCAAATTCTTTTGATCCACAATCGCGATTTTGGCGAATAGAAGCTGTGGAAGCAGTCTGAGTAAGCAATGAAGGATAACATTAAGCATCTTCATCAACACGAAGGATCACAAGTACAGAAAATTTTGGACACAATGTCTATGACTAGGGAACACGAATGTTTGAATACCGCTCAAATCAACCATTCCTTGGTTTTTTTTTTTTGAGTCGTTTCGTGTGCTTCAGCCCAACCATTGAGGACAACATTTACATAGTCAGCAACGCCACAGGAAAGCCCTGTATGAGCCAAAAAATCATCGATGCCCTGTGTCTGCAGCGCATCAGCTGTGTCATCCTATTAATACACGGCCCAGGTTCCATCCAAATTCGTAGAGCAATGGCCGATGTCAGACTTTGCGATTGGAGCGATTTTGCACCAATTGCAGGAGCGACGGGAGATTTACACCGCCGACCACCGATAATTCGGCGCCATCAGCTCGTAAATCGCCCGTCGCTCGCACTGGCCGATGTCAGACTTTGCGATTGGAGCGATTGTGCACCAATTGCAGGAGCTGCGAGCGACGGGAGATTTACACCGCCGACCACCGATAATTCGGCGCCATCAGTTCGTAAATCTCCCGTCGCTCGCACTTTGGATACAAATGTGTGAAAAATCAGGCGATACTATATTTCCAAGCCCTTCAGCTCATTTAACTTGAACGCTTTCTCAAAAATAGCACCAAAGCAAGCACTCAAATAATTATGAACCATAAAGCGACAAATAGAGATGAAAGTCAGCTCCCAGCCTCTTTTCTCTTCTGGGCTAAAAAATAACAAAAATAAAAGAATAAAATCGAAAACACACACCTAGCTCTTGCATACGGCTCATTGAGATCAAATTTCAATTGCGCAAGCTCTTGAGTGAGAAACGACGGGAGTGACGAAGAGGCTGAAGATACGACGCAATTGAATTCTCTGGTATAAACAAGTAGTATATGTGTCTGTGATGAAATTTTGAATAACCTGAAGAAATAACTGGGGAGGTTGGTACGGTTTTGAAGTAGGTAGGGCATGGGAACGCTATGCGGAGCAAAAAGTGAATTGAATGAGCCCCTCCTAGGGATTGGAGCAATACCCTCAAGTCAGTGATCCTTACTGCAAAATTTCTGAGTTTCAGGGTGTCCTAGACCTCAGGAAAAAGGGATGAAAATAGTGAAGAAGAGAGGTGAAACGCTCGAGTGGGTGAGGCGTGCACCCAGAAAGGCTAATCTAGAGTTCAAAATTTTGTTTGAAGTCATCCGGATTCCTCCCCTCTGAAACTCACCCAATTCTATGCCTGAAATAAAGTTGCTTCAGTGCGCTTAGTGAAAGATTTTTCACGATCCGTCAAGGAGGTTCCACCCGACATATTCAGCACCAATCCATTCACTCGAGTCCTTCAAGGTATTAGAAGGAAGATGGGTCACTCTTGAACGATTTACTATAACTTGCATCAAGTAACACACCACTGCATCCTGCGAAATTTGCGCCAATCACATCATGAAGAGCTCTGATTCGCGAGCAACAACACATCCTCACGAGGAAGCTCACTGAGTACGCTGCGTAAGGAAGATATGTCATGAGCAACCGCAAGGCGTCCCCAGAGTTCCTCAGTCATTCCTGGAATCAGCTATTTACCTAGGAACTTCAGAAAAACTCAGCACAAAAACTTATTTCAGCAGTCTGATTTTCACTGAACCCCTCCGCAATTGCTAACTTGTTTTCGATGGATGACTGCTCTTTTACGCCGCAGTTCGCGTTGCGAAAGTTATCACAAGAATGCTGAGTTGTGGGCAAAACTTTCACCCCAGCAGAGATTCGTGCTCGGATCTCCTGCTTATCCAACAAGAACAGCTTGAAAATACTAACATCTGATAGAGCTTTTAGCCTTTCGGCCTACTGCCGATATCGGACTGGGCGGTTCATCAGGTTGTATATACGTGTGGCTGATAAGTATGGTATCCTTACCATCGAGGCTGAGTTGGGGTGAAATGCCCCAGCGATGTAACTGGTAGCACAATTGGGGTGTGGTTCACTAGGACAGAAAGCGACTTTTTCGCGTTTCGCAGCGCGAAACATTTTCGCTGCAGGAACCTCAGGTCCACCGCTGATCATGAGTGGACCTGGAGTTCCTGCAGCGAAAAATGTTTCGCGCGCGAAACGCGAAAAAGTCGCTTTCTGTCCTAGTGAACCACACCCGCACAATTGCGCGGAAAGTGACAGAAAGGGGTAAGAATCCGGCTGGGGCGAAGTTTTGCCCACAACGCAGTATTCTTGTGATGTAGTAATTGTATACACACTCAAGGCTACGAAGTTGAAACGGATTTCTGCAGCGAAAGTTCGCTATGTGTGGCAGACCAGTAATCGCCTGACAGAATATTATTCGCTATATGCAAATAAATGTTCGACAAATTCGGCCAATGATAAAATTACTTTCGCTGCAAATGTCACACGCGTCGTGAACAGCATAATTCAAAA